CATGTGAGAATCTGGCACCTTTTAACTCTGTTCTTAGGCTGTTGAAGTAACTATACATTCTTCATAGGAGGGGAGTGTAATTTTAATCTTATTCCACCTCATGCCTGCTGGGATGGTTTTTCTTGAAATGTACTTGATAAATAAACAGTGGACTGAATTTTCTCATTATTACTTGTAAAGTCTAATATCAATAAAGTCCTCAGAGTTGCTGTTTGAGTGTGATGGTCATTGTGTGGAGTTTTAAAATGTTACAAAAATAGCTTGTTCTACTATAATAAATAATCTGCTATTAACACTAGGCTAGTATTTTTAGTTTAAACTCCCTTTAATTAACAGAAAGACAAACATGATCCTTTAAAAAATGTATTTAAATAAGACGAGGGCAATTCCAGATATGTAAAAGACAAAGCAAGATGCGGTGTCTTGTGATGCAATGGTTAGCTACCGTCTGAAAGATCAGGCAGGACACCTTACATTAAATATGTTTTTATATAAAATATTTAAGTGTCAAAACACTAGCATCTCAGTATATACATGATTTGACTCCAATTTTACTTAAACTGGAGAACCATACTTTTTGTACTCTTCTCTCTGATCCCTTTCTTTTAAAAGCCATTTTATTTTCTCCTTAAGCTTTTCAATTTCTTCCTCTTTCTGTTTTATCTTCTGCTTCAGCATGCAGATTACCTGAAAGAGAGAGAGTTATTTTACTTAAGATTCACACAGAGACAGGCTCTCACGTATCACATTCTTTTGCTGGGGGAGTTTAGTCAAATAATTTTTTAAGGGAATGGGGAAAGGAAAATGAAATTGTTTAGAGCACTGAAGATAAGAGTATAACTTTAACTGGTAGATGTAACAGTAGCTAACATATTTGAAATAACTGGAAGATAACTTTTCCCCCTTTTTGTACAGTAACAGAGAGTTTACCTTTTTAAAAGAAAAGGTCTGAAGTGTTGTAGGGTTACTATCTAGAGCAGGGATGGGCAAAATAATGGCCCATGGACCAGATCTGGCCCACCAGGCCATTCTATCCAGCCCACGGAGCCCCTAAAATATTTAGAAAATTAATATTTATCTGCCCCTGGCTCCTGTCAAAAGATGACAGCAGCCAGGGGCAATAGGACTCGGGGGATGCCACAGCTGGCTCCTGCAACAGCAAGGCCTCCCTAGCAAGGGCTTTTGGCCTGGGACTGTGGGGCTGATTGTGGCTGCACCAGCATGGGAAATTTGGGTGGGGTGAGGCAGGGGAGGACCACAGGGATTGCCCCAGTCCTTGGGGCTGGGCCACCTCCTCCTGAACCCCACGGTCTGGCGATGCAGTTGGGAGCTGACAGGTGAGTGAGAAAGGGGGAGTGGATGCAACTGGCATGTGGGTGAGGGGCCTGGGCTGGTGGCCCAGGGCCAGCAGGGCACAGAGTAGGGCAGCAGGAGCTTGGGGTGTGGGCTGGCAGGGGTCTGTGGAGCCAGGGGGAGCTGACCCAGCTCCATAGAGCCCCTGCTGGCTGGGATCCTGCACTCCTGGCAGCGCCCAGAGCAGGGCGGCAGGACTGGCCCTAGTTGCCACTGGCTCCCGTGTACCTGTTCACTCTGTCCCCCATTCCCCAGCCCCGCAGTACAGGCAGGGAGCAGTGCACAGCCCTGACCCCACCCTCACCCATCTGGACTGAGCAGTGGCGGGGGAATGAACAGGTGCTTCATGCAAGGGAAAAGTGTGCCCCCCACAAGGCCAGCACTTCCTGCTGCAGCTGCTTGCAGCCCATGTGGGGCTGTTCTGCCTCTCTGCGCCCCTGCTGAGAGGATAGCAGGCACAGGCAGCCCCATGCAGGCTCCGAGCATCTGCAGCATAGGGCACCAGCCATGGGAAGGGGGAGCAGCTGCATTTCCTCCGCGCTGAGCACCAGTTCGTTCCCCACCGCTGTTGCTCAGTCCAGGTGGGTGAGTGTGGGGTCGGGTCTGTGTGCTGCTTCCTTCCTGTACTGCAGAGCTGGGGCAGGGGGACTGGGAGTGAGCAAGTGCGCAGGAGCATGGGGCCTGTGCCAGTGTCCTAGGGCCAGGGCTAGCGCTGGTGGGGCCCAGAGCAGGGAGGCAGGAGTGCAGGATCCTAGCCAGCAGGAGCTCTATGGAGCTGGATCAGCTCCCCCACTCCCTGCTGGTGGCAGCCCAGCCTGGCTCCACAGACCCCTGCCAGCCCACGCCCTGTGCTCCTGCCGGTGCTGGCCCTGGGACATTGCAGGTTCCCACTTGCTACCACTCTCCCTTCCCCTCTCCACCCTACATTTCCCCACTTTCCTGCCTCTGCCAGTCAGCCAGCCACTCTGCACTACATGGCTCCCATACCCACATCCATCCCCACAAGCCCCCCATATGCAATTCTGCATATACAACACTAACACATCAGGACAAGAATATATATATTTTTAATTACATTAAAATATGTTGTTATGGTTGTTTGATTTTTAGTACGCAACTTGTTTTTTCCCCCCTAACCCTCTTCCCAAAAAAGAATACTTCTAGGGGTAAGGGGAAGGAGTTCCAGTGGCAAAGGTTAGAGGCAGGATGTCCAGTCCCAAGATGGTGACCAGGGCACCTGTCACCGTGCAGAGCTACCCATGCAGCCCTTGACAGCTTGCCAAAACTCGCTAAGTGGCCCTCTGCCCAAAATAATTGCCCACCCCTGGGCTACAGTGTAGCCCCAGAACAGCAGAATCCAAATCAATTGCTTCTGTAACTAGTGAGGGAGGGGAAAAGAGAATCCTGCAAAACCATTCAGGTGACTAGAATTAATTTAAATATGTGCGAGTTCAATGACTACAACTTTGTTGCTTGCTTATGTTTTTAGTCCTGGCAAGTTCATAAACATTTATAAATACAGCCTACGTCTATACAGCAGCTCAGAAAAACACTTGCTCCATCATTACATTATCTTCTTTAATGGGATAAAAATAGACATGAGGACATATGGGGGAAAAAAGAAAAGCAGTTTAGTTTGTATATTTTATTTACACCGTAAAGCATAAGAAATAACTTACTCTTTCTGTTGTATGGAACAATTCACTTTCAAGAAGCTGAACAGCAGTTGGTCTCTGTGATGATACTTTACTGGTTAGTAGCTTAATATATTTAGCTTCTACTGGCCATTCTCTGCTAAAGCTATTTTGAATGTGACCATTCCTCAACTCTGTTAGAACTTCAATTCTCTCCATTTCTGTTCCAAATGGCTGAAAGAGTTCTAAGAGAATTACACCCAGACTGTACATGTCTGACTGCAAGAAGAGAAAAAAAGAGTATTAGCTGATTTGAAATATCTTTGATTTAAAGATGCCTATGCTGTAGTTTGCTCAAGAATCTTTAGTGTATATTTGAGTTGCCTCATTACAGGAAGTGCAAACAGAATGTCAGGACTGGAGCCCATAGCATACCAATTAACACGGAAAATTTATAAGCTAGTTTAAATCCAGCAGGCTTTGATTTGGTTCCTCTTAACTATCAAAATCATACTTTTACACATACAGGTAGTCCTCAACTTACGGCAATTCAAACTTGCAGCGCTCCACCATTTACACCCATGTTATTACTTACGGCGCTGGATCCTCGCACTTGCAGCACTACAGGGAAATTTGCGAGAAAAAGAGGGCAGCAAAACAAACATCCCTGGATCAGTTTCTCAAAAAGCCATCAAGTGGCCCTAAGTCTCCCCAAAGAAGCCCTCCTGAATTCCATGACCCTGATGAAGGTGTTCCTTCACCTTCTGATTAAATAAAATTTTATGTGATTAGTTACTGTATTGCCCTGCTTAATCAATTTATATACAGTACACTTTAGAAAGCTTTGTACTGTATAGTGTGTATCATTTATAGTTGATTAAACAGTTGATTTAAATACAGTGTTTATGGTCATTTCTGTAAAAAGTTGGGCATCAGGCCCTTGGTCAGGAATGTAACCCCCTATTATAACATTGTTTCTATGGGAAAATCAGATTAGACTTACATCATTTAGACTTACAGCACCTTTTCCAGGAACATAACCCACCGTAAGTGCAAGGACTGCCTGCATATAAATGTTTTATTAAAAAAAATGTAAGAGGAATGTAACTTAAAATTGGTCGGGGGGGGAACAAAATCTAGCTGATTGCAGTACATATCTAAGCTACAAATGTTGTGGTTACTTGGGCTAGGGACAGAAATTATACACAAACCAGTATAAATGATCAGAAACCAGTTCAAATCTAAGTGCACATAAACTCCTTTTAAAATGGCTGAAACTTGTTTAAGATAAACCTGAATGGATGTAGTATCAGACTTAACTGATTTAGGTTAAATAGGTGTATTGAACTTCTATCCCAGATCCCCTCCAGCTTCAAGTTAACTCCGTCCCCCAATATCCCAGGATGCTTTGAACCTAGCCTGCAAGTCCCCCTCCTTGGCCCAAGCTGTCTGTTCCAGCTGAGCAGGGAAGTGTGCTCTAATGCCCCCCGGCTTCTGGCCTAGGCTACTGCAGGCATGTGGCTACATTTCTGGAATCAAAAGTGAATGTCTGTTCACTTGCTCATCAGTTCAATCTACACAGCCTAGTCTAACCTGTGAAGATTGAACAGATTCAGCCTCAGGCTTTTTGACTGTCTGTATTTAGCTGTAATGCATCATGGAAAAGTATGTTTAACCCAATGTTTTGTGCTACCTTGAAATCATAGTGAGATCCTTGCAGCTGTTCTGGTGATGCATACAGGCAAGTGCCCACTCCTGAAGTATGTCTTAGTCCTACAACAAATGATTTATACAGCTTTAATTACAAAAACTGATAAAAGACTAATATTTTCAGCAATACATTGCTTATTTTTACTTTGAAAACCTACTGTGTTTTTCTTCATTATATTTTTTCCCTTTTGTCTCAAACCAGTGGTCTGTGTCTTCCTGTAGGATCTCTCTGCAGGCTAGCCCAAAATCTCCAATTTTCACTTGATGGTCTGATCCATATAAAAAGATATTTCTGGGCTACAAGAAGAGGCATTTTTATTTTAAAAGAAAATTGTAGAAGCATGAAATCCCATACAACTATTTCACAATTTTAGGTATCCTATATACTTTTTAGGGATCTAAACTTAAACAAGACATTTCATCAGTAATTATTTATCATTCATGACTTAAGAAAAAAAATGTGACTAATAGATAGCACCAAGCTAGGTTTTACAAACACTAATAGAACAAGAAAGCAATACTGAGAGAGCTAGAGAAAAATGAATATGTGAAAAAATGCAAGCTTGTAATGGGAATACAAAACATAACTATAATATAATAGGAGGGAGAAAACAAAGGACTGTTAAGAGAAATTTAAGGTGATTGTGGACAAATGTGAGCATATGCTATATAATGTGGTGACCAAAAACTGTGTATTTAAGATGTCTTTGACCTCTATGTATACGGAAGTATAACAGAATAGAAAAAGAACAGTCCCAGTCACCAGCCCTATCGAGATCTGGAATAGTGTATGTAATCACAGCAACTCATTGACAAGACACCAAGAAACTGGGGAGATTTCAAATGACAGCAAATGATAGGGAGCCAGAAAACACTAGTATGAAAACATTAAGCTATGTTGATTTGCAGTTTGGTTATGTGACTGTTTGGGCATAGGCACATGCTAGTCAATCATTTGTAAATATATATATGAGTTGAAAGCAAGAAAGGAAAAGGATTTTTTTAGGGTATTTTATGTGGACGGAATAAAGAGCAAAAAAGTGTGAAATTCAGTAGAAAAGTTAGGTTATATACCAGAAAGTCTACACACCAAACTATTAGGATGTGGAAATTGCCCAAAAATGGAAACAAAAGGGCCATTACTTGATACAGATGTGCTGCACAGATGATTCCTATATGCCAGCAAATAGAAATACAGTAATTGAAGGTATCTCCCATCTTTAATCTTGGATTATTTTATAGTGCCTTCAGAATGTTGCAAAAAGCACCTGGTTAATGCTAACTGCTTATAACTACACTATAGTCAATACTTTTGTCAAGCACATGGCAACATTTTCAGATACCTGTCAGGTTCTACTGATATTTGTAACTTTAAAAGCAGTGACTTTAAAGCTGTTCTAGAACCAGTCATCCTGCAACATCACAAAGAGCAACTGTTCCAAAAATGCAGATTCTGAAATTCTATCTTTTTCCCAACTCTGGATCCTCCCTATAGAAAGTAAATTTCTCTTATCATGGGTAACATAACCAAGGGAGCCAGTACACCCAAAACTGACTCCAATCCTTTCATTTACACTCTTTCTTCCTTGGAGCAGAAGGCATTTAATCCACTGCAGGCAAAATTATATGAAGCCATAATGAAAGATGATAGCACCAATGTTAAAGCTTTACTAGCATACCATCCTGTCAATGAACCGATAACTGTTTGGGATAACCTTATGTGCAGCAGACCACTGTCAGCCCAGGTAACTACTTGATTGATACCACCTTTTAAAAAAAAAAAAAAAAGTACCGGCTTAAAATTCACAACAAAACTCAGTTAATTCATTAAGCATCATCAAAAAAAAAATCAAGCTTTAAGAAATTGAGGCCTGAAGTCAGGTCTCCAAATCTATACTGGAGTGACTTAGCACCTGACAACCAGACTATTTATTTAGGAATTTTAAATCCAGAGTTAGGAGTGATATTTTAAAAACATACTCCCGACTAAATCATCTAATCCAAAAAATGGACCCACTTTCATAAATATGTAAAGGGAAAAAAATTGCACAAGTTCTACAACTCCAATATTTAACTTACTTTAAGTCAGTGATTTAGCTGAATCATAGAGTCAGGTTATGACTGGACAGGTTACAAGGCATCTGTCACACTTATTCTTATACCTTCTAACAGAAAAGGTTTGTCTCCAATCACTAAATATCCTGAATTTTTGTTGTGGGCCCAGGTAAGAAACAGATATTTTATAACTAGCAATCCTAAGAAAGTTGGACTTTTCAGGATTAAGACTTACATTATTTTTTTCCCTAAAATTTGTTGTGTGTGTTAAATTTTGGTTCTTTCAATGTAGGGGTCCAGTTCATATTAAATAAACAGTAATGATACTCAAAGTTAAAGCTGCCAGCTCACTACAGCATTAGATAATCCTGTGTGAGTATTGTAAGAGTTGTAGGCCAGCATGAACACTGTAAATATTATGCCCATTTGTACAAATCCACTCTGCTGTATTTCAATTCTTTTTGCCTACCTAATGCTACAGCATAAGCAACAAATTGATTAGCTTGACTGCAATATTAGAAAAATTAGAACCAATAAAACACTGCTTTCCTGCAGTATGGTGGCAAAACAGCTAAGGCATCTTGCTACGTCTCTCCCTTTTTCCCAATCCCAGCTGCTAGCAGAAAGGGTCAGAGAAGTCTACTTTTAACTTTCAGTTGCTCCCACACTGCCAAAGCGGTTCACTTAGAAAACAAATCTGCTGTGCCTGATGCAATGACCAGTCAAGCTGCATTACAGACACAAGTTCCAGCTGTGCAGAAGCTCCCACTTGCAAAGCCAGAAGAGTAAGGGAAAGTATTATAAACAAAATGCTGTAGGATACATTTTGCTTGCAGATAAAAACTCATGACATTTACATTATTTTATTTATTCCATCTATATTCCATTCTTTTCAACAAAGGCTCAGGGCAGCTTCCATACATTCAGTGACATCTACCAAACACAAATCCCTTCCCCCTCCCACAACCACTCTGGGACCTGGACCTCGTACACAGCTGGTTTATGTGGTCACAAAGGAGTTCCTTCTTCCCTCCCAGGGTCACACAGGAACAAAAACTGGGAATATTTTTAGTTCACATGCAAGATGCCCATGTGCAGATCTTCATGTGCCAAATTCTGCAGTCTATAGAAGGGAGAGAAAAAGTATCCCAATACCATTCAAGCAAATGTCTATTCATCAAAAGACCAAGAAAGTTTGGATAATGTTAAGTGTTACCAGGAGCTGTCCATCAAAAATTGTACCAACTAATTTAATTTATTTTCTAAGTCGAACTAGATGACAAAACTCAGAAGTACAGTACCAAATACTCATGTAATTTTTGTTCCATGCAGGACCAGCCTATACTTCCAATTCATTTAGCTGCCAAATACAGAAAAAAAAAGAGTTTGCAGTGTTTATTAGAAGCTGGTGCTGATCCAAAAATAAGGTGGGAAATATGTAGTTGCTCTCATGTTACACTTCATCAAAACGCACACCAGTGCATAATTTTATTCATATATAGTTTTAGGACTTATTTAGTGATTGATTTCAGGTGCCCCAGCTGCTAATGCACTGGATTTCCCTTAAACATGTGGTAAAATGATCTAGGTTTATAATTTTGAATACAGGAGTTTAATATTTCTTTTTAATTCAGTTGTCATATGCAGAAACCTGTGCCTGCAGTGAGTTAGATACATTATACAAATCAGGACTGCAATACGAATATGCTGTTATAAATTTAAGTTACCCTGACTACAAATTAATAAGACAATACAGCTCACAGGTTGAAAATGAAATAGGAAAAAGGCAAAAAAATGGCAAAAATAGGTTTTAATCTGAATAACAGAAATCAGTAGTTCCCAAATGTTGTTCTGAAGCCTACCATAAAAGACAGGACAGAAGCCTAAAGAGCAGCGTTAGGACTGGCTGTATGGAGGGAAAGGGTAGGGGCAACAGCCACAAGTTAATGGCAAGCTGCTCCTTCACTTTTCCCCTTTGTTCTGAACGCTTGCTGGGTCTTGGCAATCCTTAGAATCTGTTGTTCTGTCAGCCAGTGGGGTGAAACCTACCACTAGGCCACAATTTACCCATTCAATAGTTGTGAACTATCTTCACTGTTTAAAATATTTCTTTGGATTTTTAATTGTGTTTAGCATATGCAAGCTACACTGTTTACTGAAGAAGCAGAATTAACTTATTACCTTTTACATTATAGAGATAACAGAGGTTACACAGCACTCCATCTCCTCCTGCTCCACTGGCCAAATATTTATTCAACAGGGACAGCCATCCTAGACAGACTTCAGAGAAACCTAGCAACTACACAAAGTAATGCAGAAAAGTGTCTCCGTATTTTGTGTGAAAAGGGAGCCAAGATAAACCATGAAATGGGAAGTTATTACAAACACAGCCCTCTACATTTAGCCCTATACTCTGGAGCCTCACAAGCTATATCCATTCTTACAGAGAATGGGGCTAACATAAATGAGACGGATGAGTTTGGCAAGACAGCTCTTCACACAGCTGCAGAGTTACTGAACAAAGAGGTAACGGAAACTTTAATCAACTGCGGAGCAAACATAAATTGCACTGTTCCAACTTATGGAAAAACTGCCCTTCAACTTGCAGTGTGCACTGCATCATCCAAAGCAGGCACAGTTTTAGCTGTTGATATAGACTGCATCCGTTTACTATTAATTAAGGGAGCCAAAGTAAATACCCAGGATTGTGAAGGACACACAGTTATTCATGATGCTTGTTCAGGAGGCAGAAAAGAAATAGTTGATCTCTTGCTAGATTATAAAGCAGATGTTAACTGTTTAACAAGTCATGGGCAATCTCCACTTTTTCTGTTTCTTCAGCATAAGTCAAACATGAAACATGTACCACTGTTAAACAAGTTGTTAAACCTCTCATATCCTTTGAAATTAACCAATAATCATGGAGATCTACCCACTGGACTTCTGTTTCCAGAATATCAACGGGAAAAAGAATTTCTCATAAAACTGTCAAAAACTATGTTGTCCCTACAGGACATCTGCAAAATCACTGTCAGAAGAATATACAGGGAGAAAAACAAACATTACTTGAAAAACCAACTTCCAGTATCTATGTGGAACTCTTTGTACACTTACCAGGACTTTACACAGCGTTGGCAAATGGAGCCCGTGATTTAACTGTCACAAAATTCAAAAGTTCTGAAATATTTTGTTCAGTATTTATGACACAGTTAGTTACATCTATACGAGAAGGCACACTGAAATGCTGTTGTTTCCAAAACTAATGAAAAATTAAACTTGAACCACGAACCTTACCAACACTGCATGTTTTAAAGCCACTCTAACCTCTCTTAAATTTAATTACAAGAATCCAGAAAGTTTGGTGTTTCATTTTGTTTTATATTTATTGGTTTCTTCAGTAATCAACACTTTAAGAGCAAGATCTGCAAATGGTTTCAAAGTAAATGGGTAGGAATAAGATATTCACTTTGTTTTATATGGTCCTTTCACTTGAAGTAGGAACAAGCAAGACTACATTCTATGATTCATTTGTAAAAAAGGATGTGCTGTAAAATTGGGAAGGTTGTCATATATTCTTCACACAAAGCTCCAAATAAACCTCAGCTGTAGAGTTGCTATCACTGCCCCCATAACATAGACTGTTTCTCCCTTCTCTAGCCTCTTTAATAAAGATTTTTAAACTTACTTTAATATCTCGATGCATTACTCCCATGCAGTGGATATGGTACACTCCTTCTAGCAACTCTTTAAAAATTTTTGAGGTCCAGTGGACATCCACAAGATGGTAAGGGCCTTAAAACAATTTAAAACATTAATTATTTCAACTAATTTTGTTAACATTGAAATGCAAATGTTAAATATGAACTTTCTGTAATCAATACAGAAAACTACAGTAGAACTCAGATCATTCATGCCCAGGTGGTTTGCAACCTGCTTAATTCACAATGAGCCAAGTTAAGGTCAAGCTACTCAGTAGTTTGCTGCTGCTTTTACTTCAGAGAGCACCATTTCTCCTCTCAGTTGGAGCTATTCAGTTGTCCTGTTCAGCTCATCAGAAAAGCAGCACCCTTTGAAGTAAAAGTTGTAGCAAACTACTGAGCAGCTTATCCTTAATTTGGCTAACCTGGTTACTTCACAAACTCTCCTCATCCGAAATGAGTAATAAACCCAGCTCAGCAAAGGGGTTTTACAGGGAACATCCTCTAAAATATAGTAGGAAGACTAGTCTCCACTCATTTTACCATTAAAGTATGCCAAGAAAAAAGTAAGACTATTTATATGATTTTTTTATTTTATTAACTGCTGTTCTCTGAAGATACCTAGTGTGATGTTACCCTTGGGTCCATAAACTTTCATCTGATTTTAGACAGAAATACTCTAAATTCAAAACTAAAAAAGGAAATGGTTCCAAAGAAGGGCATGAATACCAATATGAACCTCACAGGAGAGACTTCTTTCTAATTCCATGTCTGTTTTTATCTTGTATAGTTAAAAGCAGTAACAAATCTAATCTGATCAAATTGTGGATGTTCTCGTTATGCATGTCAATTTCTTTCTGAACCTATTAAGTACTAACACTAACTTTCAGCACTTGTACCACTATTGGCTCATGCAGACATAGCAACTGCAGTACAATAGCCAATATGCTCTCTCAAGTGGCTACTCCCTCTCTTTTAAAAACTGGCTACAAGTGATGTCTATCTATAGTCAAATCTGACAGAAGTAAATAGCCTTTACAGCAGGGGTGGGCAAAATACAGCCCATGGGTCAGATCCAGCCTGTGGCAGGTCACACCTGGCCCATTCACCATCCAGCTATGACACATTCTGCCACCCCTGGACATGCAGCAGGGCTGAGGTGGCTCTGCAGCTAAGCTGCCTTTCTAGGCAGCCCAGGTGGCAGTGGTTCCTTCCAGCTACCATTGGCCCCAGCCCCATGCTACTGGCGGGGACCTGCACAGCACCGCCCTGACCCTGTGAACCCTGCACCTGCTCCAGGCTCAGCAGCAGTGGCACAGAGCTGAAGCTGTTGCTCAGCACAGGGGAAAAGCGGCCCTACCCTTCACAGCTACTGGCTGTTCCTGCTGCAGCAACCTGGAGCCCATGCCAAAATGCCCTGCGTCTGCTCTGCACTGCCACTGCTGCCCCGCTGGGCTGCCCAGAGGCAGTAGTGATAGCAGCACAGAAGCAGGGCAGCCCGGTGCATTGCAGGCTCCAGGCAGCTGCAGAAGGAATGGCCAGCAGTGGCAAGGGTATGGGGCCACTTTCCCTCCGTGCTATGCAACAGCTTCTGTCCCGCACTGCTGCTGCTGAGCCTGGGCGGGCAAGCCCGGAGCAGACGCAGGGCACATGGGGTCGAAGCTGTGCAGCGCAGGTTCCCACCAGTACCACGGAGCTTGGATCAGTGGTGGCGGCAGCCAGCAGAAGCCGCCATCACCTGGGCTGCCTAGAAAGGCAGTCCGGCTGCAGAGCCACCCCAGCTACACTGCATGCCCATGGGGGCTGCAGGACACGCCACAGGCAGGTGGTGTGGTGCCGATGTGAGGCAGGCTGGGTCGGGGCTGCGTCCAGGTTTCAGCTGATCCACTCTGGTGGGGATGAGTCTGGAGTAGGAACAGGGTAGGGCTGGGGCTATGTGCTGTTGGCGGTGGTGGGGAGGCACTGCAGGGTGCGCAGGCACTGGGCTGTTGCGGAGCAGGTGCTGACCGGCACAGGGGGGCACGCATAGGGGCTCCCATGCACACCCCACCATACCCACAACCCCTCCCCCACAAACTGCACCACCACACCCTCCTCCACACAGTCTCACACCCCAGTGGTTCTCAACCTTTTGTACCTCATATACCACCTGCCGATCGACATGGCAAAAGTGAAACTGGAAGTCCCACCATGGCACTTCTGGTTTCACTGCCGCGAGCTGAGTCCCACTTTTTCCTCGCAGACCACAGCCCAGTGCAAAGCAGCCTGTGTGGGTCCCCCAGCACACTGACGCTGGGGAGTGGAAGCCCCGGCACAGCGGGAGGGGCAGTGGCCGGACTTCTGACCGGAATAGGCAGAGACGCTTCTAACCCGCCGGGCAGGGGGGTGGGCCAAACTCAAAACGTGGCACCCACGTACCCCTGTCCATGTCTCGCGTACCCCCAGGGGTATGCATGGCACTGGTTGGGAAACGCTGCCCACCCACACCCCGCCCCCCACAAACCCAACATCCCTCTCCACACACACGTGCGCTTCTGGGGAAAGCCCCGCTCACTGCTACATGCACACACCCCACCACACACATGCA